AAACTCCAAAAGTCTTTGTAATTTAGTGCACTGATGCCTGCAAGCTTCAGTTCAAGTAAATGGTTCTGTAAAATGAAAATTCAAGAACTTGAATCAGTAAGAAATTAAATTATATCCGGAACTGCTCTAGAAATTGTGTGGTATCAGGTTAAGCTATATTAAAACATCTGCAGTGTGTTGGCAACAATTATTTTTTGATATATATATATATATATTGCTTAAGCTGGAACATATTTTAAATGTTGTCTTGCATCAAGAAATGTGCATTATGATTACAAATCATCGTTTCCAGTTCGACAATTCCAAATTATGAATCGGATTTTCAATTTTGCGGAATATAGAAATTATTTTTACCTGACATGGATTAAGATCTACGCAGTGTATCCGTTTAGGATTTTCTCGTAAAGCATATTCTAATAAGTTATCACCTGCACTTGTAATAACGAACATACTATCGTTTTCATTCAAATCAAGTACTTTCAAATCTTCTCGTGGATCTTCCCACGTAAACGCATAAATATAAGAATTAAATTGAGTGTGACGCGGTAAAGCAGGGTTATAAGGTTGACGCCAAACCGGTCTATTTACAGAAGAGTTGTTTGTGTTGGATTCAGCTGAAATTTTTAACGACTTTTCTGAAGAGATTTCTATAGCATTTAAGTTAACATGAGAGGCAGAAGCTAAGGATTTGGTAGTACCCAACCAGACATAATAAGGGATCTGGACCAAATAAGGAATCAGGAAATGGTTGCGTCCATTAAAGCTTTTTACTGTATCGAACTGATATTCAACATAGTCACGACGAGATGGATGTAGGTTAATATGGTCGAATTCAAACCAAATTTGCCAAAACCATCGCGTAAACCAATTACAATGGCGATTTAACGTTCCTTGTTGAACTTGTATATCATTGCTAGTCACACGACCGGAGACGTAAAAGTCCGCTATTCCGAATAAACCATCCAGACTTAGCAGTGTTTTAATGCGATCGATTACTGGATAGAATTTATCTATCATCGATACTAAAAATTATTATTTAAATATAAGATTGTAATATTAATAACTGTAAGACAGAAAACGTTATATGCCTAGCAAGGTTGGTGAATTACCAAGAACAGAAAAGTTACCGGTAAATTGTTATTACAAATTAAATTACCAACCCTCAGTCTAGGCATTTCATAGGCATATTATGCACACATTTACAATAATTTACCGTAGTGCACTAACTAAAGTACCCATTGTGACAAATAATATAGATCAATTTTTTAAAATATTATTTGTATGTGACATAAATTGTGTAATGCACGTGATTTTTAATTTTCACCATGGGTACTTTGGTCGATATTTATTGTAGACGTGTCGTCTAAGTCACATGATTCAAACATACAGATCCGCTGTCTCCGAAGCTGGATTTACTGAAACCGAAATTTTCCGGTATTATGTACCGAAGTTCGATAAAGTTTTTTTTTGCAGCTGTTCTTAAATTCTGGAACAAACTAAAAATTTACTCATTTGCTGAAATTTCTCGGTTTCGTCTTATGAATCTGACTCTTCGGAAATATCCTCTTCGGACCGGATTCCGAAAATAGATACGTGATTTCCGAAGAGTCAGGTGATCCTTAAAATGAAACCGAAGAGATTTCGGAAAACGAGCAAGTTATTAGTTTGTCCCAGAATTTATGGCAAAAAAACACTTATTCTTTCCTGCCTAAAAAAATCAACGTAGATGCAGCACAATTATTTAGACATGAACATCTACACACATATTGACTTTTTTGGCATTTTCGGTTTCGGTTTCGGCATCGGCATGGAAACACCAAAATATTTTCGGAAACAACATAGTTCAGTCGGATGAATAATAAACTTACAAGAATAAGACATTGTCACTAAATCAATTTTTCCAATGTCATTTTCTATTCCTGGGAGCTTAAACGAAGCTGCATCATCACAGATCACATGAACATTATTCCATCCTCTAGCATGAAATCTGGATTCTGCTATTTTACACAGTGGCGCACATAAATCTACCAGATAGACTTTCTCGAATTGTTCAATTGGAAAGAAATCATTCATCTTTTCAATATTCCAACCTACAAAAAAAAAAAAGAAAGGCATCAATAAAAATCTTGATGATATAAATAAAAAAACTTGTGCATAAAGGTAATTATCGTGCAAACACTAACGATCATAGATTTACACGACAACGCCGATATTTGGATCATGCAAATATTAAAAATTTGTTTTGGCGGGTAAATGATCTGCTGCATTTAGCACCATGCAGCACATGACAGCCAATCATTTACTCTAATGGAACAAATTTCTAATATATAAAATAATATAGTTACCAGTTCCACCTCCAATATCAACCCAAATTGGTTTACGTAACGTATCCATTTGTTTTTTCAGCTGCCCGGCGGTGAGCCTTAACATTGTAAGTCTTCCACGTAACAGACGACCACGTGTAGCATCATAAACTAATGGTAAACCAAATATATACAGTATAATAAAAAGAGTTATTAAAAAGGAAAAAAAATTTTAATCATCTAAAATTTTGCAAATTTAAACCAAGCATATTCATACACAGGTCGAACTTCAAATTCAGCAAGATATTAGTGGAATATCAGGCATTTATAAAGCTGATAGCCACCCGATAATTGGCGCGTATTGCTACCTATCAGATAGATATTGCATCCGATAGGCATATTAAAGATCTGACACTTCTATTAACAAAATATCAATATCCGATATTTTATGATGCATTATCTATCCGATAGGTTGCAATATGCGCCAAATATCTGGTCGTTATCGGCTTTATAAATGTCCGATATTCCGCTGATCTCACTGAATCTTATCGAAATTTTAAAGTTCGACCTGATATATGCAAAATTTTAAAATTATTTTATTCGAGGTTTGTCGAAAATGCAACCTTCAGCTTGATCCTCGTAAAATGAATCTAGGCGACTTCGCTGGTCAGCATTATTTCCAATTGGTTTTAAAAAGCAAGCATATATAAACTTTAAAGGTGCTTTAAATTGTTCACTTTCTAATAAGAATGCAAGTACGTAAATAACGAGAAAAATCTTGAGGTATTGTGAATTAAAGTTTTGCATAAATGCCAATATGACAATCCATGATAGTATTAGATAGCGATAACTAAAAGAATTCTTAGACATTTTATTAGTCATTATCATTAGCAATAGATAAAAAATGAATTAATTTTCGATATCAATGACAGTTAAATTTAATTTTCGATATTAATGTCATTTAAATTTAATTTTCGATATCAATGTCAGTTATATTTAATTTTCGACATCAATGTCAGTTAAATTTTTAAATATGATAGATTTTTATCAAATATTTATCATTTGCTCGTATTACCCAAACTTTTGGGGAAATAAAAATTATTTTGTTCAAGTGATTGACATTGTACTCTCACAATATTTAAATTTGGTGAAATTCAGTCAATCTGGCCCAGATTAAGCCTAAATTTTGTTTATTCTGATTATGTTATATGAAAAAAAAAAATTTTTTTACGCCTGATTTTAATTTTTAATTTACAATTTTAAAATTGGAATAGACACAGAATAATCAACGAAGCGTTACTCATAATCTCGCGCAATTGTTTAAGCCCCCAAAAAAGGATAACCAATCAGAGGGCGTAGATTTTGTTAATCAGCAATAGAGTTATCATCATTCGTGTGGTGCTAGTTGGGACTTGTAAAAAAAACTTGAATAATAAAGCACGTTATTAGAACTTAAATTTCAATTGGTACAAAAAAACATTGCACCCTTTAAAAATAACCACATGGTCCATGAATTTGAAATTTTTTATAATTAAAAGCCTTCTTATTAGATAATCTATTTATTTATCTTATCGAAATCATTATGGAGACAATGCTAGATGTACATACATGCTAAAATCGGCAATTGTTTGATGTTAAAAATTGACTATTTTAGCTTGAAACTTTAAAAATTTTTGGCGTGCATTTTTTTTTAGAGTTGGTTGGCTAGAATTAGAAGCATATATAAGCATTTAAATAGAGATCTCAAGTTTCAGCACCCTTCGACAGGGCAGCAGTACAGTGACCTCATCAAATCAGATTGAAGACTGGTAAATGCAAAAATTCATGTCGAAATTTCGTCTATAAAGCTTCCTTTTATGTATGTTCACATGAAATTCAACGTCCTCCTTACCATGGTCTCAACCCCTTCGAATACTGTTTTGAGATGATAAATACAAGAGGGGTATGACGTACCAAAAGAATAATTATTTGATAAATACAGTACCAGTACTGAATCATACACGCACGTACCTTGTACAAGGCCCTGGGAAATTATATCCATAAAAATTGATATCGAAGAAATAAAAATTTATTCGTGATCTTAATAATTCTCCAGGATACTGCTTGACGTATGCCACGTGTTAATTGAACAGTCTTGGCATTGTCACAAAAATAGATCTGCTAGATAAACTTTGTCAAATTATCCTATTGAGAAAGAATCATTTATATTTTCGACATTCCCAACTTATGAGAAAAACCCTTAATGATATTTAAAGAGGCTGTGTAAACTGTATTTACATATTATCTTTATATCTTTATCGTTATCAATTTCACCTCAGCATCAGTCCAAAATTGGTTATTTATCATATGCCGCCCAGCCGTCTGCGCAATAGATTACTATGTATACTGTATATCAACATTAAACAAAATAATAGCGTTTAGATCCACCTAAAAAATCTCCACCCGTGTTACTCGATGAGCCACCCCGAGTCAATTAGAGAATCACTCACCCGGGTAACCATGGCTTCACACAAGTCAGTTAAAGAGTCACTCACGCGGGTAACCATGGCTTCACCCGGGTCACTCATTCACCCGCATTTAGACTATGTCCAATAAAATTTCATTTGACATGTACATATGGACATATATGTCCAAATTTGTCCAAATAAAATTTTATATCGATATCGATATGTCTAAATTTGTCCAAATAAAATTTTATATATGTCCAAATTCGCTCAATTGCTCACCCGCGGATGACCCGGATCACTATCGCATAAGTGCAACTTTACACATGTTAACCTTCTATTTGATTCACTGGTCAGCATTATATCAAATCGGTTTTAAGAAGCAACTTTTAACGGTTACTTCTAATAAAACACCAGAGTCAACTGATCGAAAAGAAAAGGATGCTCGAATAAATTAACCGAATCATATGAATTTCCATGCAAGTCAAGGAAAAACCCATCGGTGTGAAAGAACGGTCCTCCAATACTTATAAGTTACACATCTGTCTATTTTCTCGATTCAGCCCATCCACCTACATTGCAGTTTCCTGATCCTGCAGAAAACACGTTGTATACTGTTTCTTGCACGCTCTACTCTTACAATGATACCTGTTGCAATCTCGCTAATTTTCTGGATGCTATTGCTTAGCTAAAATTATTATTCGCAAATGTATTCTGCAAATTTAAATGTCTTTCATGATATTCTCATAAATAGAGGTTCCACGTTAGTTTCCGAAGAGTTAAGCGATTATTAGAACGGAACAACTGCCCTAGTGCTATTCACTTAGCTCTGCAGGTGCCAGGCGCGGGCACTATGGCTTAAATAGTGTCATGCATGTGCGGTTCTACCACGAAATCCCGAAGATTCCCAAAATTAATTTCACGTCGCGTGATGCATATTCAAACTCCGTTGTTTGGTAATCATAATAGCGGGCTTTAAATATACATCATACGAATCTATTGGGATTTTGTGGTAAAACTGGCATGTGTCCGATGAAAAGATAAAGCTTTTTATAAAAATCAAATTGCGAATGTAATCATGTTCACATCTGATTGGTGAAGTACTTGCTAAGTATAATTTTTTATACACGTAGAATTGCAGCGCAATTTTTTTTATTAAAATGAAACATCAATAAAATTAAACATGCGTATAAATAAAATCACTATCGCTATAGTAGTAAATAATTTATTAACGTTGATGATTTACTATTAACGAAAATTTAAAAGTAATCCTAGAGACGATGCATTACTGACCCGGTTTAAAAACTCCATTCACATTTAACCATCTGTTATTTAATTCAAATCACATCCATCCAATGAATTGACCTATAGTGGTCGTACCCTAAGATATGATAACCGGATTATAAAATTGGTTAACGGCCAAAGAAAAATGGAGCTTCAATCATATAAAACTTATATAATTGAAGTCCCATTTTCCCTTGACGTCATTCATATGATATTTACATAAGATGTAAATCATGGAAAGATAAAATAGATGAGAATAATTTTCGAGTAGAAAATATGTAATTGCATTTATTTAATATGCTAAACAAAGTGAAGATTCTTGCTTCACCGACAATCGTTCTACATTTAGTTGATATCATATGTTAGGGTTTCGCCTGACGTGATGAGCTGTCGGTAAAATAATTGTCTGTGAAGAGGTAACCGCTAATTACAGTGCGATTGAAATTCTCATGTCCCGAATTAGATTCTACTGTATAAAAAATTATATATGTACAATCGTTATTCATAATGCAGTCATATAAAATAATGCAAAAGGCAAAAATGCTTTGTAGGAATATATATATATATTTATAATTTAATAATAATTTATGATCGTTATAAGAAATTACATGGCAGCGTATTTTTTATAGAGGTTATATCCGGATATAACCCTCTTACTTCGATAGGGTATAAAACCGGTTATTAGATTTTGCTAGGCTAATACGCAGCATTGTAAAGTCCATTGAACCTAGCTGCCGCACAAAAAATGCGCGGCAGATCCTCGATTTTGATTGGCTAACGGCCGAAGATCTTCGAAATTTTGGTCCG